ATGATTGTCAAGTTATGATACATCAATTTGAAGATAACAGCTTTTCCTACATTTTAACTTCATAGTACTGGTACATCTACTGCCAGCAGTGGTGCAGTACCAGTACAGGCCAACTCAAAGCAAAACATTTCTTAAAGCGATGTCACAGTTTGTTTCCTCAGAGATTTAAATACATATATTTGAAAACAGCGTTTCTTCCAGTAAAACCCTCAGAGTTAAGACATTTTTTTTTAACATCATTAAATCTAAACTGTCGGTATGTTTTCGTTACCATTCTCTAAGGGATCCTTCTGTGTGCCTTACCTAGTCTGTGGGACTCCAGAGCTGCTCTGGGAGCTCTGAAGTGGAGGATTAGGTTCCAATGTATGTGAGCAGAAAGATCTTCAAATGTTAGGCTTCAAATGCTCACTTTATTGGACAGTGCTATGTATGCAGGTTTGGTTTTATTTTAAAAGAGCAACATCACAACTGTACAGAGACAGCAAACTTATTCTATAAGTTTTCAGTGTGTATATATTCCATCTATAAAGACTTGGATATGATAATGATAGCCATTGTTTTACTAATGTTTCCCAAAATGGGCAAAACTGAGGCAGCATGTGCCACTCTGGTTCTGCCATACTGGCCTTCGGCTGTGTTGGAGAAGTATTCATAGAAAAAGTACCCATAAAATAGAGAAGGCAGCAAGTGAAAACAGAACAAAGGTTGGAGCTATGTGAAGCAGAGTTTAAAGGAGTTACCTTTAAAATTTTTTTCTCAAATGAGTTGAGAATGGGAGGAAAGTTCAGGGGCATCTGGATTTGGGCCCTCCATTGCCATCCTGACGCGAAACAGATTTGGATTGTCCTTGGAGTCAGCGAGAGGGCGGGTCTGTCCCAAGTAAGAGTCGGTTATGATGCAAAATAAAACCACAAATTAAATACACAACACTGAAATCAAGAGAAAAATGCAAAGATATTTAAAAATATAAATAAATACATTTAGCCTTTTTACTAAACTCAGAGAACTGCTTTCAAAGCAATTGCTTCTTTCAACCACTTTCTAAATTCTGTCATAAATACTATTTTGATTGTCACTTAATGCAGCACCTCAGTGTTTGCTGGTGGTGGTGATAGAATTTTACTTAATAGTCTCAGAAACTATGTAACTATTCCTATTTCACTAGAACACTTCCCTGGGAAAACCCAGGCAGCTTACAAAACAATGTTAAATACTCAAAACCTGCAAAGTATTATTTAAGAAAAGGAATGTAGTGTTATGGCAATGAGGAAAAAATGCAAAACAGTCACATGGAAAAAAAGTATTTTAATTTTTAAATATCCAAGTTTGCTTAATTTCTTGTAATCTGTTTAAACACTGTTTTAAATATCCTGAATTAATAACTATACCAACAAAATTCATCCCCAGTGTTTCCACAGGAGACATTAAAATAAGACCAAATTATATATTTTTTCTTCAAAGTAGAAATCTCAGTCCTTTCTGTGCAAAAATATTACAAGAGCAAGTCAAATGGAAATGCTGAAATGACATGCCAACATTTCAGGACACATTTAAAACACTCAATTCTTGAAATTATTCTAAAATATCACTACCAATCACTTAGATTACTTCTGTACATCTACTCACATGGATGCAATTTTCCTAGACCTCTGAAAATAAACAGGTTCATTGGTCTCTTTTGGTGTCCACACAATAGGCAAGATAGGTTCACAATAGTGTTTAAATGGAACTAGGCAGCTACAATCTCTTGACTCCACCGCATTCAAAACAAAAGAGTTCATTTGGCTACCTTGAAATCCCATAAACCTACTACGGTTCACTGGATCTAAACATTTCTCAGAAATGTGTCATTTTATAATTTCACCTAAGTGATGATTTGGGGATCCTTTAGAAATGGTTAATGCCTAAGATAATAAACTTTATCAAAATGAATAATTGCAATAAAGTGCATGTTACCTTTGAAAATGATGCTTTTAGACTGTGGTATATTGTTGTAAGTGTGTACTATACCTCCCATAAAGGATCCCCAGGCATGAGATTATGGTCTTCTCACCTGTCTCAAGAAGCAGCAGCACTATCTTTTGGTAGGCTGACAGTAGGCACATTACCCATGCAGATGAGGCTATACTAGGGCTATGGCAAAGGAGGAGGGTATTAGAAAAGAGGGAGGTATGTGGAGGGATCCTACTATATTCATAGTTATATACAAATATATTAAATATGCTATAAAAATAGTCAACTCTTTACCTTAGCAATTACTTCAGAGGCTCCTTTTAGAAGAATGCTCACCCAATCCAAACTTAAAAGGTCTCTTTCCTCCAATTATTGTACTATTAAAATGGCAAGTGCCTTTGTGCTGTTTCTTCACCACTGAGAAGTTCCAAACAGCTTACACCTGGCTAGATGCACTCAGCAATATTAATATCCAGTGTTTATACTTTCTGTGGATTCCTGTGGGACTAACAACAGGGCCACAGATGTTGGAAAAGTTGATTTGAATGAGTTTTACATAGATGTTCAACAAACCTTCAATCACCAAATAGAAAAGAGAAATACAAAAGTAAAATGCTATCTGCATTCCACTTCAAAGTTTGCCTCGACACAGTGGAAACACTTCAAACATGTGGAGTAATATCCAATTGAAAAGAATTCCCACCTGTGTAGACTACTATTTTAAGGGTCCCTTTCTAAGGCTTCTTGTACAAGGCTTCTTTCATCTTCTTTCAACACAATGCCCTTTATAGAAGCAGCTGGACAGCTTTAGTGCTCCTGACTTCAAGAGACTGCTTTAAGGCAACGACCAACCACTATATAGCACATCTAAATTCAAATAAACTTCCACTATTCTGCACTATAATAATTCAAATTCACTGGCATCCTTTAATGACTAGTACAGTCCTAAGCCACATCTAACTGTCAAAGCAGAGTACAACACTCTAAAATTACCCCCTGAATTGAGGATGAAGTTTGGAATCGGTAGTACTTACATGCTACCCTCATTCACCACATCTGGTTTTCCCATATTTTCCACTCAGGAAAAAAAAAAAGTACTCAAGTATCTAAATTCTGGTTTGACACTGCTCTCAGCAGCAACATTAATCCTTGCAGATCTTGCACTTGTCAAGTAATGCTGACTCATCCAGGGCCTTAGCAGTCCAAAGCAAGGTAACTAAGTGTAGAGCACCTAGCATTTTTCCTTTAAAAAGTGTCACCCAGAATAAAATGTTTCTAAGAACTGAATCCTTTGAGAGTAAAGCAAGGAGAAAACTTTTTAAGAAGCTGAAAAGTTACTATTTGGTATCTTTCTATGCTTTAGATTTGGGATTTTAATTAACTTTGGCTACAGAAATGAAGAACAGGCAACTGCTGAATCTTCGTCTGAATGCTCACCTCATGGGAGGGAGGGCAGGACAGCTTTGCAACCCAAATTTATGGGTAGCAAGAGGAACCAAACGTAAAGAAGAGGCAGCTGATGCGGACTGGCCTTTTCAACACAATTCTCCATAGACAGCAAAGAAAAAGCAGCTAGTTGCTTTTTTAAATTCAGCAATATTAACATAAAACAGGAAAAAAAATGAGCTGCGAAGAAAAGCAAAAATACCTTGTGCTTATGAAGCAGTGAAGAAAAACTGTGTCTAAATTTCCCAAATATCCATGAAGATGGAAATTATTTGAAGGGGCAGGGGTAAAAGAATGTGAGTTTATAGTAATTTACCTTGTGGCTCGGGTTAGGTTTTTGCTTTTGTTAAGCACATAGTATTCACAGTTTGTGATCTTTCTTCTAAGTATGGTACTTAGATCACAAACCTTAATATAATGCTACTTCCTATCTTTTTGTTAGCTAAATCCCTAGCACTAGAGATTGCCAACAAATAAATGAGGCACAACTCAAATATACATTATAAGGAATGGCATAAGGTTGAGAAAGGCAATTTGGAAGGGGAGAAAAGCAATGCTGGGGCAGTATTTTACATCAGTATGCATCTCTGTGTGCTCAGGTACACATGTCCTGACAACTGTTCTTGGTCTTCACAGGACTGTTGGGAATCTTCTGGGTGATCATTTAGCTAGAAGAACACCTCCACAACATGTTAATTACTGACTGGTATCTAGCCATACTTCTTTTGTTGGAAGGGTAGGTACCAATTTTCTTTGGTTTTGTCTAATTTATTTTCTAATTTAATTACGACTAGAAATAGTTTTTTTACATAGAAAAACAAAGTATATCCCTTAAGGATGACAGCAAAGCTGAAGACAAAAAATTGACTTAGTATTCCCAAGCCCTTTAACATTCTGCATTACCTTTTTTCATTGCTCAGAACCTTTTTTATTTAACAACCTCACCTCTGATATTCATTTTCTTGAGGTTAATTTTGGTTCCTCCCTTCCAAGAACTAACCAGGCCCGACCCTGCTCAGCTTCTGAGATCAGACAAGATCGGGTGTGTTCAGAGTGGTATGGCCATAGACCAATTTTGGTTTCTTATAATTATTCTCCTCCCTTTTCTCAGTAACAGTTTTCTATATTTGAATAAGGAATTTTCCTAGTATTTTGATCTTTTAGTTGCAAATTTCATATTAGTACCATAAAATCTAAAAAAAAATGCTTTTTTAGGCCTGGGGATTTAGCTCAGTAGTGCCTTGCAAGTGCAGGGTCCTGAGTTCAATCTCTGGTACCAAAAAAAGCTTTTTTAAGTATATGTAACTTGTGTTGGGATTTGTTACTTTTAGAATGTAATATTGCCAGGTGAAATCTTAGTGCATGTTTAGAAAGCATGTGAGTTATAAATATACTGGTGTTGAAGTGAAGGTAAAGCCAATTCTTACCCCTTTTCTGTAGGAATATCAAGATCACATTGAGCAAATATTTACTGAAGTGATGATTTAACTTTAAAGATACTAATTTAGGAAACCTCTGGGATCACATTAGTAACTATGATAGTGTTAGGCTGTGATTTTTATTTCTATGTTATTTTTACTCCAGTTTAAAACACAGCAGCCTTCATAGGAACTTAATGGGAATAATGACATGGACACCCACATGCTGTTAAAAATGTACTAAGGTTTAAAAACTGCTACTGAAACCAGACAATGAGTTCAAGATGGTGAGTTATCTATCACCTGAATTAAAATCAAGGCACTATGGGTCCCTTCCCTCAAATAACCCTGAATCATTTCTGACTAAAAGAAGCACTGAAATTGTGAAGGATAATAAAAAGATTCCAACAAATCTTAAAAGTTAAAATTCTCACCACTGAGAATGTTAAAAAGTGCCTTAAATCTGTTGTGTGCAAACTTGACTCCTATAACTGAAACATTCTTGAAATTACTTTCAGGCTTGCTGAAAACCATTGACATAAATATTTCCAACTATGAAATACAACAAAATATGTGATCAAACTCTCAACCATCTAAAGTAAAGCAGTGCAAATCCTATTTTCAAACATAACTGAAACATAATGAAATGAGGGATAATTACGAATAACTTGATAATCCTGTTGTATCAATAATTTAACCTGAAAAAAGAAAAGATCTATTCCCAGCAGCACATCATACCTCACTGAACAAACTGTGACATCACAGCCAAAGTATGAACGAAAAGACTTGTGCCCTGGAAAAGTGAACAGAATACTACCATGTTGTAAACAAAAGGAAAACAGAGGCTGATGTATCAGTTTGTACTCGGTGTGGTAGTCTAATGAAATGTACTCAGAGGAAGAGTTAATGCTTTCATGCAGCACACACAATGGTTTGCTTTCTCTTTCACCCAGGCATATACATATTTTTACAGTATCTATACACAGACTTTGAACCCACACAACATTCTGAAAGTAATTACAGTTCCATCATCACGTGAAAAGGGAGAGTGACTAGAGGTGGGGAACACTTAACTCCTGGACTATCTTCACGGCATCATTGTAAGCAAACCCAACGTGGCAGTGATGTATCCTCAGTAACACTACGTAACAGGCACGGAACCACCAGAAGTTACTAACATTGTTAATGCCTTTTGCATTCACTGGAGATCATTTCATAGCTGAGCTCCTTTAATGTTTGGCAATATACTCTTTTTTCCATCAAAAATAGCTGGGCAACTGAAACACTGTCAGAATTGGCTATGTCCCTATGATCATCTTCCTGATGGCTGGTATTTAATGTATATCTGTATCACCAGGCAGCATTTTCTCTGCCCATTAATCCAGGAACTAGAACATTCAATACTGCATTGCATGAAACTGCTGGAACTTTTCCTCCTATCCTCAGGTTATCTGAGCAACTCGTTCTGGGCCTTCCCCTTCCTCCCTTGGTGTCAGAGAGGAAGCATGTGTGCTACTGCGGTTGAACCTTAGAAGGATCGGTCAAACTGTCAGTCCTATGACGACCGAGTGGCTGTGGTTGCTGGGACTGGTGTTGCTGGTGATGTGACTGAGGGAAGGTGCTCTGTAGTGGAAATGCAGCAGAGAGGATGAGCTGAGTCGAAGGATTCCCATGGAGCAATCTAGAAGTCTAAAACACAAATGGATTATGCAACATCTCTCTACCCCATTACACTGTCCATAAAAGATTTACTCAAGTTGTCTACAGGGGCAAGATCTTTAAATTCTCATTTCCCCCCTCTAATTTAAAGATCTTATTTTCAGAAAATGCTTATGAGACTTTCTTTCTGAAAGAAGAGTTTCATTTTACAAGAGAGTATCTGGGTTGGAGATTTCCTTTTTCTTTTTTTTGTTTTGAGACTGTCTTGCTATGTAGTTTAGGATGGCCTTGAACTCATTATGGAGCCCGACTGGCCTAAAACTCACAGTGGCCCTCCTGCCTCAGCCTCCTGAGTGCTGGGATTATAGGTGTGCACCATCATGCCCAGTTGGACTGGAGATATAGTATAAAGCCAATGAGACTTTAACTTTATGTCCTAAAGTCTCTGATTTTAAACAGAGTAAAAGTGGAGCACCACAATGGCTATCTGAGACACAAATACTTTGTGGTAAATAGACAAAGCTTTTTGCACACAGGCCTATCTGTTGGTTAAAGAAACAAAGGCAGCTGCAAGTCAGGCTGTGGGTAGATTGTAAGTTCAAACTCAGGTTGCCCAGCCAATAGACAGATGTGTGACTTGGTCAAGTTCTTTATTTCTCTGGGCCTCAGGTTCTTCATATACAACATAAGAATAACAGTGTCTATTACTTTGGGTTTTATAAATATTAAATGTTATTATTACTTAAAAGTACCATAAAAATTGTGAGCAAAGTGTTGTATATAGTAGTGTAATGTCACAAAAAATAAAACCAAAAAAGGCAAGGATCAGTATGAAAAATGCTATATTTGAATACTATTTCACACAGTTTTTATTTCTGGAATGTTCATTAATCTATAATTCCAGGATAAAAAAGAAAGTTAAAAAACATTTTTTTTTTTTTTTTTACCAGGGATCGAACTCGGGTTCTTGGGCTTGCAAGGCAGGCGGTGGAATCTCTGAGCTAAATCCCCAACCTGAAAGTTAATTTTTTAAAAAGAAGTACAGCTTTAGGGCTGGGAATTTAGCTCAGTGGCACTATGACTGCCTCACAAGTACAGGGTCCTGAGTTTCATCCCAGGTACCAAAAAAAAAAAAAAAAAAAAAAAAAAAA